CCCAACCTTCCTTCCGAGGAGTGGCTGGTGGGTTTGAACCGCCAACCTTCTGGTGAGCAGTCAAGTGCCTTAGGCACTATGCTACCAGAGCTCCTAAAGCAGGTTTAGGAAGATGCTATTTAATTCCTTTGACTTATGATGAAACTGGTACTCTTACCATTACTTTTAAATTGAATAAACCCTTTCCAAGACGCATGGAAACAGTTAGTCCAAGTGACTGGTACACCATGAGATTCTCAGCCTCTTATGACTATGAGACCAGAACTAGATGGTGCCCGGCTACCACTGTCAACCACTTGGAGGTGGACCTATGTAGGAAATCCTGGATAGAGTGATAGAACAATGTGAAACAAAACTCAAAATCTTAAAAAAAAAAAAAAAAAAAGAGCCATGTTGGCTGATCTAATAGAGCCTGGTAGAACCCTGAGACTATGGCCCCCAGCTGCCCTTCAGGTCTGGAATTGAACCCACACCTGTAGCTTCCAGCCAAATAAAAGACATGTATATAAGTTGAACATTATTAGGGATACACTCCTTGGAGAGAACAGTCATGGGAAAATAGAAAGGCTGTGTATGCACAGGGAGACAGCTGGGGTGGGGACAGAAGTACATGGGAGGGAAGGATACAGGGAAGAGGTAACTATGCGGAGGAAGTGGGAGAGGAGCTGTTGCATTGTGGGAAATCATAGTCAATGTCATGAGACAAAAGTATATGTGACCTGCTGTATGGAAAGTGAATTTGCTCTGTAAACTTTCATCCAAAATTTTTAAAAACATATACTGAATAAACTCTTTTCAACAGATAAGTCCAGAGAAAAAAAATGGCTCATCTCAGCACATTAATGAATGGGCCTGCAGGAGCTCTGGTGGTGCCATGGTTAAAGCATTGGACTGCTAACCAAAACGTTTTGAACCTACCAGCCACTTCGTGGGCAAAAGATGAGGCAGTCTGCTTCTGTAAAGATTTACAGCCTTGGAAACCCCAGGCGCAGTTCTACCCTGTCCTCTAGGGTTGCTATAAGTTGGAATCAACTTGATGGTACTGAGTTTAGTCTAACTGTCAAAACTTGAGAGTGAGGTTGCTTAATGTTACAAGTATTTTATTTCAATAAAACCATGGTAAATGATTATTTAAAAATTATTGAAATAGAAAACCATTGTAAAATGATTTAAAATAGACTGGTCATTCTGAAAGGAAATTATAGCATCACTGCATACATAGAAGAGAAAGCAAGTACACATTGGGAAGTGAATATAACTTGTAACAGAAACGCACATTAAATACCATAAAAGTAATTAGAGTTAAAAGGCAGCATTATTTATGTATGACTGAAAAGGTAAGTCTGAACATTACAGACTTAAATGTTTACACAGATGTGAATTTTGACCTCCTGTGTTATAAGTTAATGTGTCATATAGTAGCTATTCACAAGGTTTTCAGTGGCCAAGTTTTTCACAAGTGGATGGTCCCATCCCTCTTCCCAGTCTGCTCTAGTCTGGTAGTTCTGCTGAAACCTGTCCATCATGGGTGATCCTACTGGTATTTCAAACATAGCTTGTAGCCTCACAGCAACATGCAAGCCACATTATGACAAACTGACAGATGAGTGGTGGTGTTTAAGTTGGAATCCCTGGGTAATGCTTGGCTACTAACTAAAAGGTTGGTAGTACAAGTCTACCCAGAAATGCCAAAAGAAAGGCCTGGTGATCTCCTTCCAAAAAATCATCCATTGAAAATCTTATGAAGCACAGTTCTCCTGACACCCAGAGGGCCACCATGAGTCAGAGCTCACTCAACAGCAACTGGCTGGTTGGTTGGCTGGATGTTTAAGTTAGCAAAAAGCCTTACAGTTTATATAAAATGATGTGCCCTAATCCCACACCACCAGATCAACAGACACTGAAACTGAAAACGATTCCTTCCTCATTTTACAACTTTATTCTTGATTTCCTTTAAAAAGACCAAAATGATTGCAGAGCCAACTCATACCTATAGATTAAATAATTACAAGTATTGTTATTAACATAACAACAAAAGCCAAAAAAAGGATATTACAATGTTTTTACCTTTTCACTGCTGATGTTAATATATTACAAATAAGCATACCATGAATCCATGAATTGACTAGACTAACCTCTGTAAAATTTTAGAAACAAGAACATCTGAGTATATGGGCACTCCCTTATCTTACAAAATAACAGCAAGTACTTTCTATTTAAAAATTTTTATTTGTGGAAAACAAAGGCAGAACACCTTGAAGTCAAACATGAAAAAAAAAAAAAACAACAAACTCAAAGCACTTAAATTATGAAATAAAGATGAATTTGAAGTAGAAGTCAAGGATTATAATCCATCACCTTTTTTTAGGAAACTATTCATAGCTACTATCACGTGTGTAGCAAAAAAAAAAAAGTGTCAAATTGTAAAAAATTAACAACCCACTCCCTCAATCAGGTGTAAACTATGGCCAAACAAAATACACACACAAACATTTGTCATGTTGACAAAGGAAATGGTTTTACTAAAAGCTGCTGCATTTCTATCAGTAGTAACCATAAGGAGGCCGCTGGTTGTAACCATAGTGTCCATATTGGTGGGGGTAATAAGGTTCTTGTCTGTGCTGCTGGTAATTGTTACCCCAGGATCGTCCATGCCACTGATTGGATCGATTGTCACTTGGCCACCCTCGTCTGTTATCCCTACCTCTAAACTGTCTGTTATCTTGCAACCTACAACAACAAAACAAAATGGTTTTTAAACTTTCCTTTAAAAAAAAAAAATACATGACACATCCTTCCCAGTACATTTGATTTCTGAATGAAGAACTCAGTAAACAAAGTGAGTAAAAAACATTTTTTTCTCTACAGAATGTTATAGCACCTTACTCAAAACTTTTTTAAGATTTAAATTATTCGTCCACTGTTATGCTGGATACACTTTGCAAAGAAACAGGCAGACTAAAACAACAAACCCAAACCAATAGGGTCATTTAAAATCAAACGGAAAGCTATTAAATTGCATTAAAGCAGTGTGGTGATTGACTCCTTTGACTATTCTGAAATAGTAAACAGAATTTCCATTTTATAAATATTTTCTAAAGTAAAACCAAAATAATACCCTCTTTTTGGGGTTTAACACAAAATGTTGTGGCAAACTATGTATTTTTTTTATACTTGCAAAAAAATATTAGTCCATAGAAAGAGTATTTAAAAAATAAAATTAACATACACAAACTGTAAGGAAAAAAAATATGGTGCTGACAAAATATTAAATATTGTGGTAGTTGGAGCTGTGTGTCAACCTGGCTGATCCACAATTCTCTTTGTGATGTGGGTTGTTCTAATGATGGCATCAGATGTATATGTTTTGAGCAGCCAATCTGCTGAAAGGGAGTTTCCCTAAGGGTATGGCCTGCTTCCAGTACATTTATGGACATCCTGGGAAAAGAGACATTCTTCTGTGGATCGGGATTCTGCCTACAACTGTCCATGAGGGAACAATCCACCATTCAGCCTGGAGATCTTGGATTCGTCATTTGTTGGAATCAACAGCCAGTATGCCGCTGCTTGAGTCGGGAGAAGCCTCCAGCTTGATGTTTGATCCAAGAACTTGAGACTTGCCAGCTTCTATAAATTTGTGAGCCATTTTCCTAAGATAAATTTCTCTTTCTCTCTCTATATAAGCTTTACTGGTTTTGTTTCTCTAGACAACTCAGTCTAACACAAATATGTATCAGGTACTTACAGTGTGCCAGGCACTGTTACCAGAGACTAGGTATATCATAATGAACAAAACACTGGTCCCTGCCCTCACCGACCTTACAGTCTGGCAGATTAAAGCTATCCTCCCTCAGATCAGCCATCTATATTTATTTTTCTGAAGTAATACATACCGGTTGCCTCTATTTCTTTGGTTCCCACCAGCTCTACTATCCCAATCCTCGACAACTGGTGGGGACTCGAGAGGGCGTTTCAGGTATTCCTGGTACTCTTTGTCATCTTCTGTGAATCTACTGGCAAACATCTCTTCAAAACTGGAAACAGCTTCAGAAGTGTCAGTCATTCTGAATCCTGCACAATTTTTAATTTAAAAAGAAATGTTTTTAAATTAACACTACTATACCAGTTAATGAAAAACAAAGAAATTCAAAATTTTAGGCAAGATATTCATAAAAGTCCTTGTGTACTTAAAACCTAAGTTAGATTTTAGACATACAACTCGGTATCATAGACCCTGCTCTCAAAGAGTTTCCAATCTAATAGACGAGACAGGTAAGATAAAATTTAAAGGAAAGAGCAGTGAATGTCAAGAAATGAGGCTGGAGAGCAGGGGCTAAATTGTGAAAAGTTTTGTATTCAACACAATTTGTACTTTTTCTTGTAGGCAATGAGGAGTCATTAAGTGGTTTAAGCAGGGAAGTCTCAAGATCAAGTTTCCTATTTAGTAGGGTCACTTTTCTAACAGGGTAGAGAATAGCAGTGAAATTAGACTAGAAGCAGAAAACTTACATAATGTAGGTAACACTGTGAAGACTTAATCTGAGACAGGGACTATGAGAATAGTTTTGAAAAGAATTACAAAAGGAATTGATCACTGACTACATGTTGGAGGTGAGAAATAAAGAATAACACCCAGGTATTTGGCCACATGATTAGACAGATGATGATGCCATATGGATTACAGGAAGAAAGGTGGGCTATAGCACAAGAATTGAGTTTGAAATTAAATGGAGAGGCAGTTCACAGTTAACTATTTGCTGTAAATCTTTACAGAAGTAGATTGCCTCAGCTTCCTCCCGTGCAGCAGCTGGTGGGTTTAAATGGCCAACCTTCTGCTTAGCAACCAAAATTCCTTAACCACTACACCACCAGAGGTTCTTACTGGAAAGGAAGTAGAAATATACACTGAGTATAGACTAAGCTTTCAAGGAACTTGGCTGAGAACAAGAGAAAAGAGATAGGGTAGCAGCTAAGGGAGATTCTCTCTTGTTTTTCCCAGGATAGGATACCTGAGTTTGTTGACAGGGGAAGGGAAAGATACCAATAAGAAGGGGAAAAACTGAAAATACATGAGAGAGATGACAGAAAATGTTTGAAGGCATTTAAAAGTATAGCTATTAAAGTCCAGGATAATTATTTTATAATTGTTGTTGTTGTTGTTAGACTCATAGCGACCCTTTTTTGGGTTTCTGAGGCAGTATCACTACAGAAGTAGATTGCCCAACCTCCCTTCTGAGGAGTGGCTGGTGGGTTTGAACCGCCAGCCTTCTGGTTAGCAGTCAAATGCCTTAGGCACTATGCTACCAGAGCTCCCTTATAATTGGAGCCACTGTGTTTTTATTCCAGCTCCTGTAACTATAATAAATAAAACAGTCTGATGACAAAAATATTGAAATCTGTATTGGCCATTTTTTTAAGGTTAATTATGGATTCACTCAACAAGCAGTATTTCTTCACCAAGTCTCTTTCAGAGAACTCTCTACCTCTAGGAAAAGGTTTGGCTTAGGCCACAGAAGGCCTAACCCTTGAGGAACCAGAGGAGAAAGAGTTGACTTTTAATCTTCATCTAAGATCTGTGGGCCAGCCCTAGCAGGATTCTGTAAGAAGCATGCACTTCCCAGTCTTCCTTGCCCTCATATTGGTCAGAATTCCCATTCCCTATCTTCCCTAATCAAAACTTCACTTTGTGCCTTGCCTCAAGACTCTTGAATACTTGTTTTATCATTTCAGGCCTATCTGACATCATGCTGAAATTTTAAGACCAAATATTCCTCTTATCTGATATCCTAAAATTATTTTCCTTTCTGTATTACTTCAACTTCTAATAAAAAAAAAGTTTCTGACAAAGAGATGTGGTATTGGGAGACAATCATTAACAAAAACTATTCATTTGCCTTTCATCCAAATCCCTCAACACATATGCAAATATTTATTTTAAAATAAAAGCCTCATCCTGCAGAAATTTAACCAAGATTATGGTGTAGATGCAAGAAACAACATCCAGACTTCCACTCTCTCAGTCCACAATTAAAAAGTATGCCTTGTCAAATACTGCACTTTCGTTGTGTCTAGGATTGGCAAACTGATGTCAAACCCTTAAAATCCAAAGTATGAGTTTAAAATACATCAGCTAGTTAAAAAAAGGACCTAGATTTCTGCAGGAATCACAGAAATCACTAGAAAGATAACATACCAAAATGAGATGGGCAGTAAAAACAAAAAGGCACTCATCTATTTTTATGTTCTGCCTCCCCCAAACACACAAGTAAACAATTATCAGCTTCATCAATATCCATGTTGTTGTTATGTGCCATCGAGTCAGACCTGACTCACAGCGACCCCTCCTTGGGTTTCCGAAGCATTATCACTATGGAAGTAGATTGCCCCATCTTCCTTGCGAGGAGTAGCTGGTGGGTTTGAACCGCCAGCCTTCTGGTTAGCAGCCTTAGGCCCTATGCTACCAGAGCTCCTAATATCCATAGTAGAATGCAGTTTAAACTGATCCCATTTTTACTCAACCCAGGGATTTAAAGCTACTGTAATGTTTAACGTTTACGTTGTTTAACTTTGTGAGAAGGAAAACAAGACTTGACTTCCTTGAAGGAAATCCTATAAAGGGGGTTAGGGGAGCTGATGGCAACGTAAGGGTCCTAGTCAACTAAAGGGTTGGCTGAATAGCGTTCTAAAGATTTCCAATGCTAATATTCAAAAGACATGGGACAAGCGCTCAGACTCTCAATGAAGAGTTAGAAGAGGCTACAAGATTTGTCCTGCGGGGCTTAAAAAACAAGTGCTAGTTCAAGCACGCATAACAACTTCACAAAGTATCTTATCTGTTGAAAAAAAGAGGTACACCTTTCAGATTTGTGCTCAAACACTACTTATTGACCACAAATCTATAGAACTTTGGCCACGGTATAACTAACACTGGAAATTACTAACTAGAAAGAACATATGCCACACCAGGAGCCGAGCCCAGAGAACCAACAAGACTAAGGTACTGAATGAAAACTGCGTTTTTTCAGCTCCTTTCCCTCGTTTAGGAAGCTCTGGTAGCATAGTGCCTAAGGCAGCTAACCACAACTCCTTGGAAGGAAGGTTGGGCAATCTACTTCCATAGTGACATTGCCTCGGAAACCCAAGGAGAGGTCGCTATGAGTCGGATCCCACTCGAGTACAGTGAGTTTGGTTTTGTTTTTTCCCTCGTTTATCACAGCTTTGATGGTTCTGCTCCAAGGAGAAGAACCTTAAATGTTCAGATATAATGGAAATTAGAAATCATAAGGGCTAAGTGGTTCCCAGTCTCGCGAAGGAGTCCAGACCCAGGATCGCACACACCGAGGGCACCTTCTCGCCCGCCGCTCTGCTGGGCCAAGCGCAAGCCCGCACACTCCCCTCGCCTCGCAGTTCCCGCCTCTCCGTCCCTCGAACGGGAGGCTCACCCGCCAAAGGCTGCGTCTATCCAGCTCGAACCAGACTCCGCCGGCGATGGACGAGGAGAAGCAGCGTCTGACCCGCAACTCTGTCAGCTGAACTTCAGGTCACATCTGCTCGCGGAGGAAATAGAGCCACTTCTGCGCAATCCAATAATACCTCATTTCCGCTTCCGGCAGTCAGAAACAGAGACGGGCTAGTTAAATGTCGCGATATCTAGAGCTCAAGCCTTTGCATTTTTTGAGCGCTGTTGCGACGCTCACAGCTGGATTAAGTATGGCAAGGTGGCGGCCAGAGTGATTCCAACTATAGCCTTTAAGCCAACCTGGAGACAGAGCAGAAGAAGATGTCACCAAATATAACGCCCACTTGACTTGGTAGGGACAGACGTTAAATGAATATACAAAGAAAGGCTATTTCCAGCAGTCTGCTCTAGAATTCTGAGAACGTGAAAGGTGAGAGAAGGTGGTGAAGCGTAAACAGCTCTGGATTACCTCATTTTCCTCCTTGGAGAGGTAGGACTTATAAGGCAGTAAATTCTGTAAACAGAAATATATTCAAATGATACTTGGCAGCCAGGAAACATGACAGTTACTTACCACATTCTAATTTACCACTTAGTTTTGAACCATTGAAAGACATCACCTGGTTGAACACTTTTTTTTAAACTCACACCCTGAGAAATGGCTTAACTTCTCCAAGGTCACAAAACAGGTTGGTGGCAGAACTGCAACTGTAACCTTCAGGTATTCTTTATTGATTAAAAACAAATACATATGTCTAGTATCTATTATGTGCCAGGCACTGTTCTAGTTCCTGAGAACATCAGTGACTAAGGGTAAAAGCCCTGCCCTCATAAAACTTACGTTCCAGTAGGGAGATAGATAGTAAGAAAGTGACTGTGTAAGTGCAATGAGGAATAATTGGGAGTCCTTGGGCAATGCAAATGGTTAATGCACTTGATTGCCATCCAAAAGGTTGGAGGTTCAAGGCCACCCAGAAGCATTTCAGAAGAAAGGCCTGGCGATGTACTTCTGAAAAAACAGTCACTGAAAACCCTTTGGAGCACAGTTCTACTCTGGGGTCACCATAAGTCAGAATCGGCTCTGTGACAACTGGTTTAGTGGTTTATGAAGAATAATTAAGCAGAGTAAGGGGACAGAGTGTAACAGGGGCTGCTAGCTAGAAATGTGTGACAGTGATTAATTTTCATCTCAGCACATTGTCTCATAAAAGGAAGTCCCTCAAAATGAAGTACTTTATTTTTAATATTCTTTTCCTTCTTAAATAAGTAACTCATTTCTAGGACTATATACATATCATATGTATAACATTTTGTATATGATATACATTGTATATATAATATATTCCTATTTAAAAAAAACCTCATTGCCATAGAGTCGATTCTGACTCGTAGTGATCCTCTTTGTGTTTCCGAGGTGGTAAATCTTTATGGAAGTAGTTTGCCCAGTCTTCTTTCCACAGAATGGCTGGTGGGTTTGAACCACCAGCCTTCTGGTTAGCAGTCAAATGCCTTAGGCACTGCATCTCCAGAACTCCTTAATATATTTATATATTATATATATATATATATAGTGTATGTATATATATACATGAATATATAGATAT